CTACTTCTTAAACAGGGGAACTTCCTGTGGGAACCAGTACTTGTCCTTTGCCTACTTCTTAAACAGGGGAACATCCTGTGGGAACAGTACTTCTTGTGGGAACCAGTAACTCAACCAGTGGTTGAGCTAAATTGCTGCTTTGCTGCTGTTTCCCTAGGGAAGGCTTTTTGTGCAGCTCAGGGTTTAATGGTTGACCATATAGGTACTTCCGGCTCTCCAGAGACCTCATGCACCTGGGTTGTGTAGAAACTGTGATCTGGGCCTGAGTTTTTTCATCAAACTGCACCCCATGCAATTCTGCATTCTTGACCAGTCTCCTCTGAGTGGTCCTGTGGTGATTGGGGGATAGATGAGCTGTCCTTGCTGTGTCCCAGTGTTCTCCAGGTGGGCCCGTCTCCCCCACTGCCCGTGCTCTAAACACTTCCCACGGGACAGGCCCTGAGCCGGTCCCTTGCAATGACTCACTGGCCTCTTAATGGCTCCCCTTTTATAGCTGTCCTGGCTCCTCACTCCTGTGTGGGTCCATGGGAACCCTATTAGTGGTGTTGCTGTCCTGGGGGCCACTAAGGCCCTCTTCTCCCCTGCCGCCTCCAAATAACTCCATCTGAAGGGCATAGCTGTGGCTTCTGCCAGCTCCTGCTCCATGCACTCATCAGCTCGAGCCTTAAAGCAGCCATAGCCCAAAATGTTCAGAGCAGTTCTCTCTCTCTCATTGTGGTTTCTCCCACCTTCATGAACTCCATAGGTCTCTTCTCTTCCCCGAGCTCCAGCAGCCCCAGCCTGGCTGATGTTACATTTTTATACTTGTAAATTGGTTGATTTGTAGGAGAGAGTGACGCTGAGGTCCATCTATTCCGCCATCTTGACTGGAACTTTGGGGCTAGTTCGTTATCAACAATTTTGAAGTTTGTCTTCTCCCTGTCCCACCTCCACCCAGATTCCAGAACAGTTTAAACAGCACTGGAATTATCTGTTTTTAGTCATTTGATAGAATCCCTTTAAGAAGCTGTTTGGGGGCCGGCCCTGTGTCTCACTCAGGAGAGTGTGGCGCTGGGAGTGCTGAGGCTGTGGGTTCGGATCCTATATAGGGATGGCTGGTGCGCTCACTGGCTGAGCATGGTGCAGACCACACCATGCCGAGAGGTGCGATCCCCTTACTGGTCAGAAAAAAAAAAAGAAGCTGTTTGGGCCTATTGCTCTTTTTGGATATAGGTCTTTGATAATTTTAGTTATTCATTCTGTAGAAATTAGCTTGTGTTTTTTCTCTCATGCAGGGTCAATTTAGTTACATAGTTTTCATTGGTATTTATCCATTTCATTTAGCTTTTCAAAACAGTCTCTTATGAGTCTTCTCTATTTTTGATTTATTTATTTCTGATATTGTATTTTTGCAACTTTCTTTATCATACTTTTCTTCCTCATTAAGTTGCTATTTAAAAAACTAAGCTTCCCAAGAACTAGCTTTTAGATTTACTCCTTAGTTCAACTGTTCTGTTGTATTGTTGTTCATTAGTTTATGATTTTATCTTTATCACTTCTTCTATTTTTTTTCTGGTTATTTGGTTGTTGTTTTGATGCTTTTTTAAAATCTGTACATTTTCCTCTGGGTAATGTTTTAGCTATAAACCATGGATTCTAGTATACAGTGTTTCTACTATATTGTTTTCTAGAAAATCTATAGCTTTGGTTTGTATTTTCTCTTTGACCCAAGAGTTTCCTAAGAGAAAGTTTAAAATTTTCTGGATAGAAAACAAAACTTCTTTGTTTTCTGAAAATGTTGTCTGTATTATTTCTACTTCTTGGAAATTATTATCATTTTCATATGTCTAATAAATAGCCAATATTCGTGCTTGTCCCCAGACCATTTAAAAAGTGAATGTATTTGTGTATTTCCTATAAGTAAATTAGAGTTCAACATAGATAATAAATCTATATTATTACTCATGGTATTTAGGTCTCCTACATCTTCATTTACCTTTTTTCTACTTGCTCTGTAATTAACAGATAAACTTGAACTAAAGCCTTCTTCTACATATGTTTCTCCCTATCATTTCTTATGGCTTTGTAATTTTTGCTTTAAAGATATTGCTTTCTAGATTTAATGCAAAGATATTCATAAGTATACTCTAGCATCACGAAGTACCTTTCTTTTTTCATTGAATGTCTTTGGGCCTAAATTCCACCTTGTCTAATATGAGTAGCCTTTGGTTTTGTTTTTCTCAGTTTGCATTTATCAGTTTTAAGTTCTATTTTCAACCTTTATGTATAATTTTTTTTTTTTTTGGTATGTCTCTTTTACTTAGTATAGACTTGGGTTTGTTTTTAATTTAATCTGAAAGTCTTTTTCTTTTAATAGATGAGTTAAGCCAATTAAAATTAAACTGATTTATATATTGTATTAGTCCATTTTCTGTCACTGGTAACAGAATATCTGAAGCCAGGTAATGTATAAAGACATGAAATTTATTTTTCACTTGGAGGTTGGGAAGTCCGAGGTCCAGTGAGCACATCTGGTCATGGCCTTCTTCTTGATGGGAACTCTCTACAGAGCCCTGTGGAGACACAGGCAATCGCATGGTGAAAATGGCAAGAGCACTTTAAAGTGCTCACTTCCTCTCCTTGTAAGGCCATGAGTGACACTCCCATGATAACCTACTAAACTATAAACCCATTAATCCATTCATGAGGACAGAGTCCTCATGATCCAATTACTTTTTAAAGGCCCCACCTTTCAAATACTATAATCAGATTACCCACCCTCTTATCACTGTTACAATGGGGATCAAGTTTCAATGAGTTTTGGGGGGATATTCAATCCACAGCATATAATTTTATTACAAAGTGTGTCCTCCACACATTTTTTGAATATATTAGCTAATATATTTATGAATTTGTTTATAAGGGTTCTTTTTATAATTGTGGTGAAATACACATAATAAAATTTATGATTTTAATCATTTTTAAATGTATAGTTCTGTGGCATTAAGTATGTTCCCATAGTTGTGCAACCATAACCTTTTTTAGTTGATTTTAGTTTACTGATTTTGTAGTTAATGTTTCATCTGAGTTCTATTGTTACTGAACCCAAATACGACTGCCTGACCCAAACAAAAAACACTGGCTTGGCTTGCCAAAATCTGTTACAGAACCCAGGGCATTCAGCACCTGGCTGAGGCTTGCCAAAATTTTGTTACCCCAGGGCATTTACCTCCTGGCACCAAAATCTTGTTGCCGAACCCAAGTCCAGATGCTTGCCACAACCAAAAAACAAACGACCCAAAAGTCAAATTGTTGTTGAAAATGGAAGCCAGCTTTTATTTAGGAATACCAGTGACCTGAGGAGAGATTTTAGTCCAGACCATCTCTCTGGTAAACCTGAAGGAGAATGGCCAAACTAAAACCATCTCAAAGACTCAGATTTACTGAGGTGGTTTTAAAGAAGGGATTGAGGGAATGGAATGTGGGAACTGAAAAGCAGGAGGGAGGAGGATGTGAGCTGTGGGGACTCCAAGCAAACAGCCAGGTGCAAGGTCTTGTCAAGGCTTCATCTGGATTCTGTTCCCATCCTTGACGTTATCTTAGGGTCCTGCTTTCGGGTGGAATCAGCATAGCTTTATTGATGTCTTCCTTGGTTTCTCTGGGTCAGGATATGATGTGTCTTGTGGCAAGTTGGCAGCTCCAGGCTGACTGGAAGACAACTTTACGTTTATGTAAATAATATCATCTTGCCCCAAGGTTCAAAATATCAAATACCCTGGGAAAAGAATGAACTCAGAGAAACACATGCTAAGAAAAGAACTGTGTATCCCCCCCACCCGCCGCCATGCTCATGCAGTTTTAGTTCCCAACATGACTTCAGTTTGGCTCACTTCAACACTGTATCATTTTATGTTTTGTTCTATGTTTTTCTTTCCTTCTTTTATAAAGTTATTGTGTTGTCTATTGGCTTTGTGTATTTGTGAATGTGTGTATGTGTGTATTATGATTTTTAAGAAGGTCTATATTTTTATTCTAGGGATTATGATAATAACTTTATGTTAAATCTTTCATTCTCTGTCTTTAGTTCACTACTATGAGCTCTGATAAAAATCAGTGGGTTTTTTTTGTCCTCTGCTACTTCTTTTTCTTCTATTCAATTTTACTCAGTATTATTATCTTTTTTAATGTTTATCTTTGTATTGTTAAATATGCTTATTCTTATATTACTTGATTTGTCAACTTTAAATGATATCCTTTGGCTTCCAGCTTTTCTTGCTAAGGCAATCAGCAAATTTCCCCTACCCCCCACATGCATACCCCATTTCCTTGGTTTCGTTTATTTGGTTTTACTCATAAATTTTCTTGTCAGAGCATTCAACATATTTAAATTCCATTCTTCAACTCTAATTCTCCTATTAGTTTTAATTTTAATTCACAGTTATATAGTCTTCGCTCACTGATAGTCTTTTTGAACTATCATCTCTTGGATGATTTTATATTCAAGAAAGCCTCATGGGAACAATATTACCTGAATATACCTCTTTTTACCTAATCTCTCCTTTATAAAATGAAGATAATACTGAATCTACTTTGTAGGATTATTGTGGAAATTTAATTTATTTAATCTTCAGCACAGATTTATTTAAGATTTTTTTAATCTTTAGAACAGCATCCAGCACAGAGTGAGCTGTCCTAAATAAATGTCAGCTATTACTAATCTTTCCCAGACATCCTACAACCCCATTCCAACCATCTGAATTAGGTGCCCCTTCTCTGTGAACCTCTATCATGGTACTTGTCACCCTGTATTGTAATTGTCTCTTTTATTTGCCTTTGTATCTTTTGTGCTTAGCAGAGTACCTGGAGCAGGAAGCATTTAAAAATTTTGAATTAACTGAGTTAAAAAAATCTTTAAAAATCAGAATAGATACCTCTGCTTAGGATGATAATTGGAGACAATTGAATCCTGAGAACAATCTGATCAAATGACTTAACTTAAAAACAATGTTTTTTATTTCCAGACTTCACTTCTAATGATGATTATGGGAGAACTGGAACCTTCAGAGGGCAAAATTAAGCACAGTGGAAGAATTTCATTCTGCTCTCAGTTTTCCTGGATCATGCCTGGCACCATTAAAGAAAACATCATCTTTGGTGTTTCCTATGATGAGTATAGATATAGGAGTGTCATCAAAGCATGCCAACTAGAAGAGGTAAACAATTACATAAAAAAATATCTGATTATGCACGTGGAACCTTCAGACTATCCAAATCACGAATTTAGATTCCTATTCAGTCAGTCAGTCTACATATATTAGAGTTTCCTCTATGGGTAAGCTGCTATAGGTAGATCAATTAATAAAACACATGACTCCTGTTTTAAAAATCTTGTAAATACATAAAACAGATGCAATTTATTTTTTAAATGATGGGCTGGTTTTGTCACAATAAAAACTCTTTATGAAATGGTGAGAATTTTTTTCACTCAGTGAGACAAATGTCTTCAGTGGACATTTATATAGCATGCATTTTTAAAAGATACTCCAAAAATTACATAAGAGGATTTTGATAATTTTAAAAACATCATACCTAATGGAATGAGCATTGACCTGCCAGTAGAAGATCAGAGAGATAAAATTATGATTATATCTTATCTTTGGCCTTGAATATATAACCATATAACCTCTAGTGATTTCAATTCTCTGAGACAGAGATAAAATGACGATGATGCTATTGACTCATTTTATAACAATATTGGAGATTAATTATATAGAAAGTATTCTAAGTGAAGCCAGTATGTGGATCTTGTGCTGTTTGATACATAAATTATATGATGGTGGGTTCAATAATTATTGGTATAAATGTTAGGGCAGAGAATATATTAGAGAATATATTATTATGAAGTTATTGGCCATTTTGTCTGACTAGTAATCCTGATTTGAAATCAGTATCTTTGATAGATGGCATTAGGACTAATGGATTCCTTTTATCACCTTTCATCCAAAAAAATTACAGTGGGAATAAAATGAAGCTAAAATACAATACACAAAATATGGAAAAAAGCTAGTTGTGGATTATAAATTGCAATTCTTATGAAAGAGGGCTGCATGCTTACATAAATGCCTCTTCATGTATACACTGATTCATTTAACAGTAGTTTTTTAAAGCTCCATTGTAATGAAAAGAAAAGCTATCCTATAGAAGTATTAGATTTACCTTGAAGAAGATATTTATCATTCCTCAAAAGTCCTTCTTCCAGGAATAGTATTTCACAACCTGGAGGTTGGAACATTCTGGATTTGTTACAGACAAAATCTGAGTATTTCTAGAGAATGAAGATATTTGTCTAGGAGCAGCCTGGGATGTAGGAGTGGTAGTGCCTAGCAAGATAAACCAGGAGCTTTATTTATTTACGAGTGGACAAGTATTGGAAGATTTCTGGTAGACTTTAGTATTTTTGCTTTGAGTATACATTTTCCTATAGAAGTGATTTAATAAATGGTGGTTTGATTTCCCAAGTAAACCTGTAAGAATATTTTAATCCAAACATAGCTTAGATATATTACTAATAATATATTCAGAATTATGTGTTTCTCATCCATAGGATGAGCATTTACTGACTTCTAAACACTGTGCTAGTTCCTGGGAATACCAAGATGGATACCCATTTTCTGAAGGGTTTATAGTAGAGTGCCCTATGGTAATGAAGTATTGTATAGAATGTGAAACATATCTCAATAAAGTTGTCAAAAAAATGAAAGAGGAAGAAAAGCATATTCTTCCTTTTTTTCTGATTGCATGACCAGCCTTAAATTTATTTTTAAAGTGCATAATTCATTGTTTTTTTTTCACATATTCACAGGGTTATACAACCATCACCACATTTTTGTCACCACTAAAAGAAACCTGGTACCCATTATCAATAAATTCCTGTTCCCTTGTACTTAATACTCCCTACTCCCAGCCCTAAGCAACCACTAATCTACTTTCTGTCTTGATAAAATTTCCTATTCTGGACATTTCACTTAAATGGAATCATACGATAGGTCTTTTTTGCATAAATAAACTTTTAAAGTAGAAGAAGGTAAGGAGCCTTCATTTAACAAAAATTTATTAAGACTTACTTCATTTTATACAGTGTACTGGGAACTGGAGATGAAAATGTGAATAGAACATGATCAATATACTTCAGGTGTTCATGCACTAGTGGGAGAGATAAATATTGGTGAAGAATCTAATTAGTTCTCTAGAAAGTGAAAGAAGTGTTTTTACTGGAGTAAAAGGAGGGAGCATGGACTTCCTCTGGGTCTGCCTATTGTAAGGAATAACCTCCAGATGGAAGCACAAGGCTGATATCCTCAGAATGATTCACTGTAGAATTCCTAGAGTAATATAAATGAAACTTATGGCCTTGGGGGAATTTTTTGATTAAGAACATTCGAGCTGCCAATAAACTAGAGAGAAAGTTAGGTTGATGTGAAGAAATAGGAGACTGATGAGTAAATGGGCACTGGACTGTTGAGAAGATTAGATGCAATATACATATAAGGTGCCTAACATACCATCTGGTACAAAGTAGCCATTCAGTAAATGTTAGCTTGTTTCCATTTCCCTTTGAATTGGTGGATACTGTTAGACAGCATGACGTAGGAGAAATGCCATAGGAAAGGGCATCAGGGAAAATGGCTCTTCAGGAAAGAATAGGGTTTTTCTCAATAAATTAGAAGAGGAGAGAAATTGGTTTAAAATTAAGGATTTTTGGAACAACAGGAACCGGAAAGGGGACAGGTAGAAATGCAGTGGGTTTAGGAATGCAGGACATGGAGGTGAACTACATAGAACTGAGATATCTGATCCAGGCCGAGGGATCACAGGTTTTGCTAACAAAGTACCAATGGAGAATGCCACTAGGTAGGATTTAATGAATAATCGTTAATAATGATAATGACCTCCATTTTGTTTTTCAATGTACAATTTACTCTTCTTCCTCTTTGCCTAGGATCAAATAAAACATTTGGCTTTTTATTTCAAAAAAGCCCCTGAGTTGCTACTCTCTTCTGACCTGCTGACTTTTGCAACAAATTTAGGCCTTCCCGTTCATCTTATGATATGCAGAAACACCCAGGCATTTCCTAAATTCCTTGTAGTTTAAATTTGCAAATGTACTGAGTGCAGGGAGAACATTAGCATGTGCTATTCTCCTCTCTATGCTGAAGGTTTCATGTATGAGGGTACTTCAAAAAGTTCGTGGAAAAAGAATTAAAAGATAATACAAATCTTTCTGTGAACTTTTTGAACTACCCTCATATGTAGTTCTTATCTATCCAACTACATGGTAGATTCCTTGAGAACAGCAACTCCAAAAACTTTATTTTGGTATACTCCACCTAGCACAGATAGAACAGTAAATTCTTGTTGGATGACTGTTTCGAAAATGTTTTGAAGCAGGTATGTCGGTTGCAAGAATTTTGCTCAGAAAATGTTCTTCTGTGAGCCTCACAGTCTCAGAGTTTGAGCAGATGATTACATGGGAGCACATGATTGCTGCGGATCGCATAAAAGTATTGGAAGTAGATAGTGCTAGTCTATCCTGACAGTCAAAATCAGAAGTTTCTCCCATTTTCAGTGACTTAAGAGTTTCTATTTCTGTTTTTTTGCTTTTGTTGTTAAATAAGTGTTCTCACCTTTGAAAAAGGCCAGTGAGAACCTCAATACAGTGTAGTTCCTGTGTGCCAAATGAAGGTTTTATTTTTGAAGTGTGGAGGAGTTTTGATCATAGGAACATGAGATACCTACAGAATCCTTGATTATTAAACAGCTGGTGACAGCACAAGAATCTCTCAATATATTCTGTATGCAGCTCCTATCACCAAATACAAACATTCATGATGCAGTATGTTTTCATTTTGACCCTAAAGTTGATCTATTTCTTAATGTGTTACATCTAGACTTGGAACTGGAAATGAGAACAGAATATTCTTTTTCTCATTTTTTGTGTTTTTGTTCAGCTCTAATATCTGCAAAGCTCTTGCGTATATAATGATACTCAGTGTCATAGGAGTAGGCAGGTAGGTGTAAATTTGTCTGGATAGGAAAAAGCATATTTCACATAGCAGAACATATTTCACATAGTTTTCTGATTTCAGTTTGTTGTTGGAAATTTTTTACTCAGTGGCATAGCTTAAAGACTTTATCACAGGAGAGGGCATGAAGATAGTTCTGTGTTGATAGAATAACTTGTAATGTACAGCCATGAGTGGGCAAGTCATGCTCAGATTCTTCACCTTCAGTCCTCTTTTTTTAGGAATATTTCCATGTCCTGATTTATGAATCCTACTTTGAATCGAGATTATAGTGCAATGGATTCCTAGGCAAATTGAGCATTATATTAAAAATACTATTATGTATTTCTGTGTCCATTAACCTATCCTCCCATTTTTCTTCCCATGTACCCAGGCTACCCTTAGAGTCCTCCTAACTATTTGTAGTTATTGAACCAGCACTGGAGACTTTGCTAGCTTAAAAAGAGGAATCAATATATTGGGCCCTAGTTAACTTACTTATCCCTTATGAGATTATAATCCTATTTTGCTATTGAAAGAGGGACAGACTACACTGTTCTCTAGCCCTTTTTATTTCTGAAACACCATTTCTCCACCACTTCACTAATACCATAGTCTACCACATAGCCCCATGGCTGACAGGAAGAGAATTTTAGGCAAACCAGTGTTTGGGTAACCAGTAATTGGACTGTCTGTATTCAGTGACTTGTTCTTTTGTAAAAGTACCTGGGTTTGGAGAAGTAATTGGCTTTTATAGTAGTGCGTGGTGGTGGATAAGGGTGAGGAGTGTAAGAAGGAGTCCTGGGGCTTAGAATGTGTAATTGGCTTCCACAAAGTTGTTGCGATACTTTTGGAACAGCAAAATAGTCCTCATTAAGTAAATATTTTTCATGACAACCATTTCATATGCATTGAAATAAAAATATTTACTGTGTAAGTCAAAGAACGTAAAATGTACATGTGTTTTCTATTCCACTACTGCTTGGCAGTTTTCATATTTAAGTCACTAGAAGAAAAAATCTGGGAGGGAAGCTGGCAAGAATTTATTTAAAAAAAACTTGGGAGGGAAATTGGCAAGAAGTATGACAAAACTTGGGAGGGAAGAAGCAAAGAAATGAGTTAACAACTGTTCTGGAAAATAAATTCCATCA